CGGTGCGCTCAATCACCGCATTGCAGCCAAACTGGCACGCTACATTGGAGATTTTTAGCACAGACGGGAATTGGGAAAGTTATTTTCCATTACCAGGCTGGTCAATTAAGTGCTCCGGTAGAAGATAATTGGCTTTATTTTGTTTTAAGTCATATATATATATATATATATATATATATATATATATATATATATATATATGTATAAAAACAAACCAAGATGGGTGTGTTGTTTTCGCCTCCTTTCATCCGTGTGACTCCCATTTCGTGTTTGATGCCAACACATTCATATCTAACTAGTGACGTTTACATTATTGGATTGGTGAGTTTTCAATGTCGCCCTTTCGACTTAATGTCATGACTCATGAATCTCATGCAATTGGCTTGGTCAACTTTGATTTAGCTCCGGGAATAAAGGAAGCCTTAGGTATTAGCTACCTGGGCTTTCCCAACGTCAACAAACGTAACTCCGCGGAAAAAGGTGAAGACTGATGCAATCTAGTATCCTAAACCGTTCTCAGCTCTTTATCATAAGGATTAGCGCGACCTTCTTATAACGGAAGGTATGCTCTTTTGTGCTATGTATGCAGTGGTCAAAAACATCGCACCGCTTCGCGTCCGCTCGGTCAGCCCGCAGCAAGAGCCGCCGTTTTGTTCGGCTCCTGTCTCCGTCTGGATGGGCCGCCAGCACGCGCCGCTCTCAAACAAAAAGTGAAACGTCCCGTAAGGCGCCGGGTAATGATCGGAAAGCGGGTGCCCGAACGTGCGGACCGCTCCTCGCTTCCGGTGGCCGCTGATCACGTGATGCCCGGGGGCGTTTGAGACTCGGTCATGTGACAGCCATGAGGCGGTTGGGACGTCGAGTGCCGCAGTGATAACGGTGGTGATGATGGTGATGGTGGTGGTGATGATGGTGATGGTGGTGGTGATGATGGTGATGGTGGTGGTGGTGATGGTGATGGTGGAGGTGGTGGAGATGGTGGTGGTGATGATGAGGGTGATCGTGATCGTGATGGGGAGGATGGTTATGATGGTAATGGCAGTCCTTTGGACGTTAGGGTGTGGTTGCCGTCCGGCCACGTAGCGTACGTGGATGATATGGGGTGCAAAGTCCATTTCCAAGAAGCCGCTTGCATTCAACACGTCTCCGTGAACGTTTTATTCCTTCTTTTTTTTGCTCAGCGTTGCACAAGTCAGGCTTGTTCCCACCAGGCGCATCGGGAATGATTACGCCGACTGCTGCGTTGAAAAATGAAGCCGCCTGCTTGCCGTGGGTACGATTATCAAGACATTCACAGATTTCTGAGTGCCCGGTGCGCAATTCACGGATCGTCAGTTCGCGTCCTCCCCGTCCGGCTCTCCGCAGGCAGTCGTAACAGGCCAGATGGTAGAGAATGAACTTTGTGACGTCATTTGAATCTGTGCGGTTCCGGCCGATCGAACACGCCCCACGCGCGCGCCTTTAGCGCGAGACATGCATCCCAAGGCGTGCTACGCTCTTAGCCTGTTGCATGAATCAGCCTTGTGGGGTGCGTGGGGTGCCTGTTCTGTCTCGGCACGCATCCCACAGAATTGGGATGTGTGTCAAGACAAGACATGGCATGCTCCCGGATGCGAGTCATGAGGTGTATCGTCTTGACACGACGACGAAGTAAGAGGTGTCGTATGTCGTATGCCGCATGAGTCGTATGTCTTATATACGTCGTCGACGTGTCTTAGGACGTCGGCGACATAGCAAAGAGACGTTCTGATGGTATGTCAACACCTATATAAGCGTTGGAAATCGATCATTTCTCAATGGCCTCCCCCCCCCCCCCACACACTCACACACTGTTGCACAACAGTGTGTGGAGATGGAAATGTGTTCGACTCCGACGTCGGAGTCGAGCCACGGCAAACCAGGGCAAACCACGCCAAACCACCGCAAACCACGGCAAACCACGGCAAACCATCGCAGACCGGTCCGCTTCGGCACCCGGACTAATCGGTCCGCCGTCGGTCCATGCTAACGGACCGGTGGCCCGCGGCGGCTGCGCACCGCACGCACAGCGCGTGCGGCCAGCCATAGTGCGTGCGGTCGACCGACCGGCTGTGGTAAACCGGTGCAGCCACCGCTCGGATTCTCCACCGGACGCGGCGCGCGTAGCCGGCGCGGCCGGGACGGGCTGCCTGGAAACGGGGCTTCTAACGGCCCAGCCCGCTGACGGAGGGGCCTTGTGAGCTGGGCCTCCAATGGTCCAGCCGACGGGCCCAGGGGCCCTGTGAGCTGGGTCTCTGACGGCCCCAAAGTGGTTCACGGATGTCTCGGATGCGTCCGGCACAATCTCACCGCACCTCCGGTATCCGCGGTGCTGTCCGTGTCACTCACGGCATGCTTAAAGGCGGAGGGCGAGTGACTCTTGACCACACCGGCTGGCAACCGGCCCTACCAAGATGAAGCTGGGTAGCAGAAACTCCTCCGCAAGCTCGTTTTCCGACACCACGGCAGCCCCAGCCGGCCTGCTTCGGTGGGGCGAGTGGCATAGTGGACCGAGGACCTGTAGGTCAACATGGCGCGCAGTGTGCGCTGAACTTGAACCTTTGATAGGTTTTTGTGCGGTCGATTGTTGGTCTCGCCTCCTCAGAACTGAAAAAAATAAACATGAGAAAATACGTGGGCATTGATCAGAAGTTTTAAAATGTCCCGAATGAAGTGATACCGCAGGCGAAAGAGAGATTAGAATTGCATTGCGCAGGGCCCCAAAAAGTATTCGCGCCATGTATCCACAGTGAAATCGCTTGTAATTGTAGTAAAAATAATGACACCGCATGTATATATTTTGGGGCATGCTTATTCTCAGGCTTACATTCTGTTCCTCCTCTGGACAAACGGGACTTAGCGGTGGTGCCGTACGCTAGTTGTCATGAGGCCGCTAGATGTCAGTGATCAGCACACAGTCAGCTGATATCCAAACAAAACTTCCGAGTCGTTCTCACCGCATTCGTAATTTCGCCAGGAGGGTTGCAGGTGGTGGGTGCGTGAGTGTGGGTGGGGGTGAGAACGTTAACGGCCTTGGAAAATTCTGGTGCGTGGGGGCGAGGAGATTGACGAAACGAGCCATACTTGATTAGCCGTTTGTGACGTAAACGGGTTTTACCATTATGTTTTAAGCCCTCGCGTGGTCGCTTGCGTTGAGCGACAAAACCAAGGAATCATTTTGTAAGCATTATCACATGGCTTTTGTTTTGTGCCAAAGAAGTGCCAAATCGCTGTGAGGTGAGTTAAGTGCAGTGTTTGTGAGATCTGGATGCATAGGCCGAAGTGTTTGTGCACCTGTAAAAATTGGGTTTGCTGTTGGGGACCACAAGCTGAGTTTTGCTAAGTTTTTTTGGTTGCAGGAAGCAGACAGCATGCTCTCTGTTATATCAAATTTCTTTCTGCGATGCCATCATGAGTCCTAAGATATTAAGGGAATTGTATCATTGTTATGTTGTGATAGCTGGTTTGTGAGGTGAAATTGGAAGTTAATTGCAATTGTACTCACTTGGGAGGAGCTGGTTGTCTATGTTTTAGGCACACAGTCAGGCATTTAGCACTGTTAAAAATTTGAAGCACTGGGCTGTAAGGCTTTGAGTAGTGCCTCCCTTTGCTGTTGCTGACTGATTTTGGGGATGTGTGAGGTTCTGATAGAACAGCAGCAGTTTGCTGATCAAAATTGAGGAGCTTATATCAGCTTATGACGTAAACCTGCACCAATTTTTGGGGGGATTCTGGCTGCCAAACTACTAAAATGATCAGGAATCTGCTAAATGGCATTGAACAACAAAGTCCAGTTATCTGTGCTGTTATGACACTTGTGGCCTGCTGCTACCACGGAGCATGCAGAAATATGGAAGAACATGCAGATGTATACGTGTCCATTCACATGTCTAAATTTCATTGCACTGGTATGCAATACATGTGGTATGTCAGAGAAGCAGCCTATCCAACTATTGCACTGGACAATGCTTTGCCAAATGTGTATCAGAATGGATATGGGTGCCAATCACAACACTTCCTGAAGTCTGAGTTTTCTAAAATTTGAAAATCCACTGACACACATGCTACTGCTGCAAAGATGACCTTAATCCAGTGTTGTGCCTCTCAGAGGTGTATGAGGTTGCATGTTTTGCAAACCATTTGAAGGCCTAAACCATGCACAGGTTCATGTGATGTTAAAGATCTTTATTGCAGCTCCTGCCATCTATTGGTCTTAAGTGATGACATGACAAATGTTGACAGGTTGGACACGCATAAAGACAATTGTATTTTAATAGTTTGGAATGTTTGTGTGGGCTTCCAAGGGCTTCTGGCCGCATTCACCAGCTCTTGGTGTCATGTGATGACACTTGCTTCCACCATCATTTTGTCCATGATCATTTTGCTGGTCCCCCCCCCCCCCCCCCCAGCAATGGTGTGGCACTGATTCGGTATGCAAGACGAATCCGAGCCCCACTGTGGCGTGTCTGCTTCGCTGGCACTTCCCAACCGCCGTGAACAGTCGCATGCATTGCCAGGCAACCAAGGCAGATCAGTGGTGCCATCTGTCCATGCCTGGAATGGTGGTGCAGGCTTGATGTCTGATAAAATGTGCAAGGAAAGGAAAGTGTTGAAGATTATGCTGTTCGTCACATGCTGCTCATCAATCACTCAAGTGGCGAGCACTTTGGTGTTATGGTTTAATGCCAGCTGGCTGAGGTTGGATTATCATGGATAGCATGCAATGAGGCTGAGGAATGCTGTTGACTCAAGTGCCTGGCACAGCCACTCACGCACGACACAACGAGGAGCGCGTTCGTCGTGGCCCTCAGGATGCACTTGCTGCTGCCTCTGCTGGTGCCGCTGCCGTCCTTGCTGGCGTCCTACTCTGATCTGGTGACTGGCGCCGACACGCCTTGCCTCTTCAGGATGTATTATCGTCTTCTGCTGCCGCTGTCGCTGTATAAGGCTATTCCCTGGCGCTGACACTCCTTCCCCGTCAGGATGTATCATCGTCTTCTGCTGCCGCTGCTACTGTCGCTGTCGCTGTGCCGCGCCGAGCTGTTCACGGCGCTGGTCGACATGGAGCACCTGGCCTACACGGAGCGGGAGCTGATTGGCATGCTGGACCGCGTCATCCAGGCTGAGGAGCGCAAGATCCAGACTCTGAAGAAGTAAGTGGCACAACTGGGACCAGTGCGGAGGGTCGCGGCTGGGGGGCCCGAGGTGCGGGGTTCGATTCCCCGCGGTGGCCGCCCTTCCTGCCAGGGCAGGAGGAGGCAGGCGGGCCCGTGACCTCAGCAGCTAGGTTGTGTCGTGAAGCCGTGAGGACGGACGGACCGAGGGAGGGGGGGGGGGGGGTGAGGGGGGACCACCCACAGTGACGGGGTAGCGTCGAGGTGAGATACGGAAGCGGGCGGCGTCGCACAGTCTGTATGGGCTTTCGCGCCGCCTTAATGCCCGGCGGCCGGGGTGCGGAGTCATTCCAGAGGCGGACCCGCGGGCGTGCAGCGTCTGTCTGTGTGGTAGAGCTTGGGGGGGGGGGGGACCGGCTGCGAGCGAGGAGTTGTCGGAGACCGCTGTCTGTCGGTTGTGCTGTTAGGTGGTATGGGACACGGGAATCATAGCGGTCGAAGTGTGCTGCTTTCAATCGTCGAAAAGTATAGGTGCGTGTGTGAGCGCGGTTACAAGGCGTGCACCTGGCTCGCCAGAATTGGTCATGGCGGGTCAAGGGGTCATAACCTAGAAGTGGCGCTGTCGCGCGTCCCTGCACACGTGGCGGGCTTGGCGGAGTCTGTGGCTCGTCTCACTGGTATCGCTGCGTCCTTGCTCACGTAGCGGCCTGAGTGGAGGCTGTGGCTCGCCTCACCGGGATCGCTGCGTCTAGCGTGGCGGGGCACCAGCATCGATTGTACAGTTGTGTGCTGAACTGCTGTGCAGTGCGCGGCGGCAGTTAATGGCGCGACAGTTTCGTGATGTATGCAAGCCCATGCGATGCTACTACGGCTCTCTGTCAGCCCGATGTCGCCGACAGCTTCTGTGGTCCCGTCCGGTGACAAGATCCGTGTACAATCACACAACGATCGGACGGTACGATCGTACGCAACGGCCACATTGTCCACGTTGCTGGGCGCCGCACAACGGCAACTCCGACCTCGGCGCGCGGCCCGCAGGTACATGGAGGCGTACGAGCGCGTCAACCGCGAGCTGGTGGAGAACACCGAGGCGTTCCTGCACAACCCGGTGAACGCGTACCTGGTGGTCAAACGCCTCACCGCCGACTGGAAGAAGGTCGAGGGCGTCATCACGGAGAACGTCGGCGCCCGTGAGTCCCCCTACGGCGGGGCAGACTTTCTAGCAGCGATGTGCGCTGTCTGGGGTGTCCGTCGGCTCGGTGCCTTGAGAAGTCTGTAGTCCGTACCCGGCCGCTGCCAGACGCCTGGTGCTCCGCCAGTCATGTCCAGGGTCCCTACCTCAGCTATGGCTATGTTATATGCTCCGCATCGTCTTGTCGATGGCCGAATATCCCTGCTGAGCCGTTGTACTTCGGCTCACGTACACGCTCCAATTCCCGTAAAAGCATTCCGCCGACATCCCCGTGCGACGTTTTGGTTAATCCTTTGATGCGGTGTCGTGCTGCACGTAGCAGCATGACATTATTTAGCAGCTCATCCCGGCTCGGTGTTGGGGACAGCGACGCTCTTCACTTGTCTGGAACGTGTGGCGCGATCTGTCTGCAGCGTGCGGGTGGGTCTGACGTGTGTGACGCTGAGGGTTCTCGTCGCCAGCACGGTGTCATTGTGACCCCTGTGACCCGACCTGCGTGACCGTTGCCCAGGTCCCTAATTGTTGTGACCCTGTGCCCCGTTGACAGAGCACGTGGCTTCCCGCCTTTCTCCTGTCACCTGTGGCGGTTTACGACGGCTATCTAACCTGGGCGGTTGTATCTCGCTGATCGCAAGTCTGTGATCCCTGTACTCGCCGTCGCTGTGGTGATGACCTCCGCGCCTGGGCCGGCAGAGTTTGTGGAGAACATCACGCAAGTGTCGGACCATCTCCGAATCCCCGACGACGAGGACCTGACCGGCGCGGCTATGGCTTTGATCCGCCTCCAGGATACGTACCGGCTCAACACGGCCGGTGAGTGGGAGCCGGCCGCGGCGGCTCTGGCTGCGGTCCAGCGCTGGTGCTGGCTCAACACGGCGGCTGGGTGCGATGCCGCCCTCCGAATTCGGCTCTTGTGTGGTGCACAGACGGAGGACTCGAGAGTCAGCAGCTGAGTGCATCGTAAAGCTTCAATGACGACGAGGACTTGAGCGGTGGAAGGATGTGTGACAGAGATGATGCACATTGAACGGAGTATTCGCGCGACACGCATGTCTGTGATTTTGAATAACTTACGGTAGGTAGGCAATCTCACGGTGGCTGTGCTGGTGGCTGCATGCTTTCAGCTAGCTGGGGCCAATGCCAGAAGACGCGGACGCAATTCTACCGTGTTGAGAGTCGTGTAGCTTTCTTTACATATCCACGTTTGTCGTCCCATTCAAGGTTTGGGAAGAGCTTTCGCGAGGCGTCGTTTCCGGTGCGTTACTGTAGGATTGGCTAACCTCCGTGGTATCTCCCCCCATGCCGGCATGTCGTCCAGCGATGTTGATCGCTCTTTGGAGCCGGGTGGGCAGGGTTTCGCCCCCACGCGGGACGGTGGCTGTTCTGGGAAGTGGGGGCGTGACCTTCCAGCGCGACTGGGTGTTGGTGCCCTCGGAGCCCAGCCCGGTCTCGGGAGATGGCGATCACTTGGTGGCTGCGTGCGGCCTGGTTGTGGACGGTTCGTGTGGAGGGGTGGTGATACGTAGTCGGACCCCTCTCAGCTCTGTGTCCCCGCAGAGCGTGGCGAGGACTCGCGAGTGCTTCTCAGAAGTCCCGTGTGGGCTTGGGTCTGACTTGACTCATGCGCCGAAAACGAGCCGTTGCGGCGATGCAAAGCGTATGACAACTTCACCAACGACGACAATTACAGACAGCCCACTAACCTCGGCGAACTGCAATGGAATGGCCGCGAGGCTATAACAGCGATCCAAAACGCGCACAATAGTAGCGCTTGAACAAATGTGTGCAGTGCCGGCGCGCCACGCCCAACGCACGTTCCGCTCAGCTGCGCCGTCGCCTGGCGCTTCCTCATGGGCTACAGCCCCGCATGGACGGCGCGCCATTTGCAAGCCAGGTGGCGCGTAGTGCGAAGGATAAGTCGCAACCCGCGGCAATGTTCTTGCCGTTTCGGCATTGTGCGTCGCTTGCTGTGCGCGGTGCTTCCTCCAGACTCTTTCGGCGATGGATGCTCGCAAAACGTAGGCGTTAGCTGCCTTTAAGCCAGTGCACAAAAAGCGAATCGGCGACTGGCAGCGCCGACAGCGGTGCCTGGCGCCGCCTGAGGCCGGCGTGCTCGACAGCCGTGCACGGGCTCCCCCTCTGACGCCCCTCCCGTGCACAGACATCGCCAGCGGTGACATCCGGGGCTCGCGGCTGAAGCGGCAGCTCACCGCCGGCGACTGCTTCGAGCTGGGACGTCAGAGCTACAACAACGCCGACTTCAAGTGGGTGGCGCTGCTGGAGGCCAGGGGGCCGGCTCAGGGGGTAGGAACGACAGCAGAACGGCTCGGGTGGGGTGGGGTGGGGGATGGAGGGGGGAGGGGGGCAGGAATGGCAGCAAGATGGCAGCGGCTGCTACTGAGGTGTGACGATGAATGGACTTGTGGAGGATGAGGCAGTGGACGTGTGGAGGGTGAGGCAGCTGACATGTGCAGTGTAAGGCAGTGGACGTGTGAAGTGTGGGGCAGTGGATGTGTGGAGAAAGGGGCAGTGGACGTGTGGAGGATGAGGCAGTGGACGTGTGGACGCTCTAGAGGGCCGGCAGATGACCCAGCCGGTGACCGAGCACGTGCGGCTCTGACTGACGCGATGTCCGGGGCTGTGGCCGTCATGGGGCCGGCCGCCTGACGGGGAGGCAATGTTCACCGACCCACGACCCACCCTCCATACACACCACCCGCTGAACGACTGATCTCCCCACTGGCTACAAGCACACGGAAACGCCAACCGCGCAGAAAGTCCCCCTCAACCGGGATTCGAACCCGTCCCTCCCTCTGACGGCGCCGCGTACGCTCCAGACACACCGCCCTCTGGATGGAGGAGGCCTGGAAGATCTGGCGCCAGGAGCAGGAGCGCACGGCGCCGCTGGGCGACATCCTGGAGTACCTGGCCTTCAGCATCTACAAGATGGGCGACATCCAGCGCGCTCTCAGTCTGACCAACCAGCTGCTGGACGAGGAGCCCGGCCACCCGCGAGGTGTCGGCAACAAGGTGAGGGAGGCCGGGCCGGGCCTCAGACGCAGCGGTGGTGTCGGTGGAGCGGCGCCCCACAGATGACGCGCGCTGGGTGTCAGGGCGGAGGTCTGGATATTGACGTGTGTTGGTGTGCTGGTGATACATAGGTCGTGTGTTGTGTGAAATGATCGGTGCTGGTCGAAAGCGTGTGATCCAATAGCCTGTGTCGTGGTGCGCTGGTGGTCGTCGGTTGTCGTTGTTTGCGTTTGCTGAAGCTGAATGGGCTCTCTTGAGCGCAACCGAGCGCTCGCCGCGTGATCTCTTAGCGAAGATTTGTGACACGCTTCATCTTTCCCCCATCCGAGCCAACGGCTTCGTTAAACAGAATGGTTCATTACAAAAAGCTACCATTCGAGTGCAAGTTCTTGGCCAGATTCCGCTGTCAGTGTCTTCTCCTCAGCCATCCCGGATATGAAGGGATGCCACTTGTTCGCTGTTTTTGCTTACTTAACGCAAATCGGGCATTGCCATTCGTCTCCCAGTACCCCCTCCCCCCCTCAGTGGCTTCTATCATTGTGATGTACTGGATTAAAGCGACGGCAGTTCAGTGTTCCAATGATCGGCCGACTTGGGTGGCAGGGATGCCGATATTTTTCATGCTATAACACCCGGATTCGGGCTCGCTGCCTGTTGCCACTCCCCTTGCTCAAAATCGTCCAATCAGCATCGAACCGGGTGGCTGTCAAACCAGTATCTATGCGTCTCAGGCTTGACAAACGGGCTGCGTAGGTCGGGTGTCTGGATCGGGGTCAAAGGGCAGCAGATCAACGCCAACGAATCGCATGCGAGGACCGCCGGAGAGCCAGGATTCTGGCAGCATGGATGTATGTTTACATCTCGTACACACTACTGGATGAATTTTAGACGGTGCGGCAGCTGAATGCCGTCATGGTACCGTCGGCAATGTCATCAGCTCGTAGGTGTCCAAGGGCGTCCACGGAACTACAGCGCTCCACCCTGCCCGTCCTCAGACCGTCTTGTACGGCCCCAGTACGGCACTAGCATGGCCCCAGCATGGCTGCAGTACCACTCCAGCATGGCCCCAGCATGCCTTTCGTGACGGCGCCCTTTTGTTCGGCAGGCCTACTACGAGCAGGAGCTGTCTAAGGCGAACGAGGTCAAGCGGCAGAGGAAGGGGGAGACCGGGCGAGCCCGAGGACCTGGAGCAGAACATCGCCAAGGTACGTGGTCAGCACACAGAGGAGGCGCGCTCCCGCCGCAGCCGCGCGCGTTCCACTGGGGCGTGTTCATGCTTAGACTTGGCCCGGCGGCCAGCTTCAGCGGCAGCTCCCCTGATGTTTAACAATGATAACACGTCATGCAAGGTGTGCATCTTTTCGTGATGAGTTCGGTTGGTGCCGGTTGGCTTTCCTTCTCTGGCTCCTTGCATTTGTTGGTTGATCTGTGAACAATTCGTGATGCGATTGGCCCATCAATTTAGTTAATGCTCTCGCCTGGTTTTCGTCAGTGGTACCTCATACAGTGTCTGATCATAAACAGAAGTGATGTAAATCATATTGTTCAAGATAATCACATCCTTCGGACTCCGCTGATCATCTTACCTATTTGGGCGTGCTTCAAAGGACAAATCGCTGAAGTTTGTGTGCCCTTCTCCCCGGCTGCCTGCCGTCTGTTGTCACAATAGTCCAGCGAACACCGGTCCACTCTCCGCAGCGCCCTGTCATGTCTTTCTGTCCCGATTCTGTGCACGCTTCTGATCGGCCCGCCCTGTCCTCAGCCTGCTCCTCACAGTTCCTCCTTGTCCGCTCCTGCTTTTCAAAGCCCCGCCCTGCACTTTGCTGTCCCTCACAGTCCGTCGTCTGATCTGTACCCGATCCCGATCTGGCTCGGTTCAACCCACATGCTTGGTGGCTCCCGCCTGACACCCGCGTGACTCCTGCCTGACACCCGTGTGACTCCCGCCTGACGCCCATGTGACTCCCGCCTGACACCCGTGTGACTCCCGCCTGATGCCGTGTGGCTCCCGCCTGACACCCGTGTGAGTCCCGCCTGACGCCGTGTGACTCCCGCCTGACGCCCTCGTGACTCCCGCTTGACGCCGTGTAGCTCCCGTCTGACGCCCTTATGACTCCCGTAGGGGTACACGGTGTCGGACGCCGGCGCCGGGTCGGCTCGGCTCCCCGAGCGGGACGTGTACGAGGCCATGTGTCGCTCGGAGGTGACGCTGTCGCCGCAGAAGAGCAGGCACCTCAAGTGAGACTTCGCGCTGCGCGTCTCTGGCGTCTCACGAACCCCCGCTGGGTGATAATTGCGGGCGAGAAGGCGTTGTGCTTGTGTGGCCGTTTGGGACCTCAGGAGCTCAGGACAGGAGTTTTGGTGTTTGCGCTCGGAAAGGGGAAGTTTTTTTGTGAAATGGTGCAATCTTGTGATGTGCAATCCAAGCGTAATGCTGTGGTGGGCTGGTCAGCCTGGGCTTTGACAGGGATTGCGGAGCCTCCAGATAAGTTATTTGAGTGTTAATACCACCATCGCGGAGGTTATTTTTTCATCGCCAATTTGCCCAGTTCCAGGCTCGTTGTCAGGTTGCGACGTTGCATGTGGTTGGCATCTAAAACGAAGCGCAACACCTAACAAGGAGCACGTGTAACATGTCTGGTTTTTTTCTTTGCTGCACCAGATGGTCAGACTTCTGTCAGTTGAGTTGACAGACCCTGTTGAACTTCTCTACATCTGAACACTCGCTCCACCGGCTGGTCGCCTCGCTAACCCGAAGTTCGGCCGGTCTCCGCCAGGTGCTACTACGCGCACAACAACGCGCCGTTCCTGCTGCTGCAGCCGATCCCAGCTGAGGACCTGTACCTGAAGCCGCACCTCATCATGTACCACAACGTGATGTACGACTCAGAGATCGCTGCCATCAAGGAGCTCGCCCAGCCCCGGGTAGGTCCTGGGCCCGGCGCCCTCCGGGCTAATGTGCTGGGGCGCCCTCGGTGTGGGTCTGCTGGAGAATATCTGCCTGAATTGCTGGTCGTGCCTGCATGACTACTGTTCATCTTTGTGATCTGTTCACAGATCTGTGAGGTATCTGTCAGGAATGTGGCCTTTGCGTGAATTGCTGTGTTGAAATGATGTATGAAATCTGATTAAATATGATCATTGTAAGATGTATGATTTTACCTCTGATGTTTTAGTAAATCTGAGTTAAATATCATCTTTGTAGGGTACATGTTACCTCTTTTTTATGCTGTTTTACGTTAGCCTCGCCGCTGCGAGCTAAACCTGTGTGTGGAGCTCTGCTTGACCTGCTATGTGAGCATAACCCCTGTGTCACTTCCACAACATCTCATTCAGCTGGATATACTTTCTCTGTTAGACGCCTGTGACTGCTCTGTAGTATTCTCCTGACCTGACCTGACCTTGGCACGACACCTGCGTGACTGGTGTTCGACGCCGGTGGTGTTCCGTTCTACCACACCTCCTTGACCTCGTGACCTGTCCGTGACCTCCGTGTGACCTCCGCCTGCAGCTGGCCCGCGCCACAGTCCAGAACTCCAAGACTGGCCAGCTGGAGACAGCCAGCTACCGCATCAGCAAGTCGGCCTGGCTCAAGTCCGGG